ACATAAATTAAAATATTATATAATACTATCTGTTATGTCACCGCGTATAATGTAAGCTACAATAATGCGTATAATGTAGAGAATTAATATTTAAAATCGGCTTAGTAGTGTCGAAACGTATTCGATGCAAAGCAATAAACCAAAAAATAAGATTAATGCGGGAGAGCTAAATACATTGCTTTGGATCATATTATCAGAAGTTTGTATACATTATATAAATATGTATGAATATTATATTCCTAGTAATTAGTCGATTAAGCGCATTTATTTCCACGTGTTATGTCATAAGAGGCATATTAGTGAGGATATAAATGTGTTTGTAATATCTTTTAATGCTTAAATTCTATACATTTTCAATATTCACGCACCTGTCATGAAAACTTTTGTATAATATCAAAGTTACCCGTGGATAACAGGAACCATTAGAGACATGATGGACTTATGAGACAAAGCATACACTAGGAGCCGTCACACTAAATTGGAAAGCGATATTATTTACTTCAAAGAGCTCAAATCCATTGTAACTAAAGCATTATTTGCAGATAGAGGGCTTATTTCCAGCAAAAAATCAATCTCAATGTGAAACGTCCAAGGAAAATGTAGAAAAATATTACAAATAATGTGGTTGATTTTAAGGGAAAGCAAACTTTTTTACCCCAACATCTGAGTGACCCAGAATGGACAGCAGACTTACATTTCACAATCACGTTGCTGATATAGTGAAAAACTGCTTCTATAGACTTCAGGTTTTGTACAGAGTGCGTGAGTACCTTCAAACTGGCCTGAGGATCTAGCTTTGTGAAACCTTGGTACTCTCTAAGATAAATTATGCAGATGCAGTGATCGGGGGTGTCTACTTGAAAACACCAGGAAGCTTATTGAAATGAAATGAAATGTAATGGAAATGTTTTTATTCAAGTAAGCTTGTTACAAGCACTTTTGAATCGTCCAAAAATATTTTTTCCCCTACCACTTGTTCAGGACGTCTTTTAGCTGACAAGAAGAACAAGCGAAAGAAACTTACCAGCTTTTTATCATAAGTAATGACATTTACATAAATCATGTCATTACCAAATGATACATATATTGAAAAATAATAAATACAAGTTTCAAAGTCTCTAGGACATAGGTTGGTACATACCTATAATTAATCGTTATAGAACAGAGCGAAGGCTATTAATTCCATGCCTTGCGGTCTTTAAAATAATTATCAACTTTATAATAGCCTTTACTCATGAGTATATTCTTTACATGAATTTGAAATTTATTTATGGGAAGGTCGATCACATTTTGTGGAACTTTATTGAACATAGCAATACATTTACCCAGAAATGATCCTCTGGTTTTTTAAAGCCTGAAGCTTGGAACGGCAAGTTTATTTTTATTTCTTGTGTTAAGATTTCGAACACTACTTTTTTTGTGAAGGAATCGTAATGTTTTCTTGTGTACATAATATTCTCATAGATGTATTGAGAGGCAACAGTCAGAATATTGATTTCTTTAAATATTTCTCTGAAAGATTCCCTAGACCGTAAATTATATATAGAACGGACAGCTCTCTTTTGTAGAATAAAAATATCCTGAATGCTAGCCGCAGAACCCCACAACAATATACCATACGTCATTACACCATGAAAATAACTAAAATATACCAATCTTGCCGTTTTAACATTTGTCAAGAGTCTAATTTTCTTAACAGCAAAAGCTGCAGAACTCAGTCTACTTGACAAGTTATCAATATGAGGATCCCATTGCAGTCGGGAATCTAGTGTAATACCAAGGAACTTTGTCGATTCTACTAACTCAACTTTTTCATTATTTACATTTATAAGTGTACTGACATGCCTCACATTAGGTAATGCAAACTTTATGCATTTCGTTTTATTTGAATTGAGCTTTAAATTATTACTAACAAACCACTGTAGAACATTGTCGAGAGCATCATTTACATCGTCAAAACCATCATTACCCCTCTCAACTTTAAACAGTTAAGAGGTGTCATCTGCAAAAGATGTATTCAGCGTGTACAGAACGCATGTGCCCGTTTCTGCTTCTCTATCCCACGGAAAGCACATGTTACACCTTATCTCAACAGGGGAAACCTCATGAACATGGATACTAGGCCTTCATTACATTTTACGTGCTTGCTGTTTGGTGTTATTCAGGGACGGTCACCATTTAACCTGTATGACAAGCTTAATTTCTCTTGTCGTTCAGTCAGGAATGCAACTAGTCTCTTATATCCACGACATAACACAGCTGCATATCGTGGCAGTTTTCGTTAACATTCATTCCTCCACCTTTTCAACAGTTTCATACAATCAAAATATTTAAAAACATCTTCTTGATTTATAGAAGCTGATTTGAGTGTTGTGTTGTGTAATTTATATACAAACTTATAATTTAAATTGCATATTCTATCATGTTGTCTGTTATGCATGCTTTATATAATACTGATTTACGTATATATTTAAATGGTTAGGTAGAGTATATAATATAGATATTTATGTATGGTGCATAGTAGTGTGTTCTCCTCATCTGGTGTCCATGGAAGATCAGCGTCGAGGTATCTTAATGACATCTCGGCAATATGCTGAATGGATACCTTTTTAGGCCCACGGTGTGTCTTTATTTATTCATTCATTTTGTTATTTGTACATTGTGTGGTTGCTAAATATATCTATTATTATTATTACAAATACAGGTAAACTCGGCGGCAGTGTGGTCTGAACAAACTGAGTTCTGTCGGTCGGGCATTGTACTTATAGTGAGTGCTTAAGAATTATGAAATTCAGGAGTAATAATTATTCTGATATTAAGTTTGTTCAATAATATTATCGTACATATTTTTTAAGTTGTATGGTTTATAATAAGATGTCTTTCTGTATTAAATAAATAATCCTTAAAAATTTCGAAGCCGTTACAATTATTTTTCTATTCCATTTTAGACCAGTAGCTCAAAAAATGTCATCGCGCATTTTATGAAAATCCTTCTCTGTAATTTTGTGTTTAATCAAAAAGTTAAGTGCAATTTGCAAAAAGTGAGGCCGCTACGAACTGTGCCAATGGTTATACTGCACTATTCAGTAAGTCAAAATCACTACATACTATAAAACAAATTCGCTTTTTTCTTTCCCTATATCCGCAGGTATTGCAATCCATAAATCTTTAAAACTACGCCACGGATTTTGATTCGTTTTTTTTTCATAGATGGAGTGATTCAAAAGGGAAGTTTTTATGTATAATAAAAGACCACGCGGGCGGAAAGCTAGTTATTAATATATTTCTGAATCCGACATCGATTAAGCCAAAATTTACCGTTTTACGCAAAATTCACAACTAAGACGAAATAAGGTTCTTAAACCGCACACAATCCGTATAAATCGATGAAAATAAGTTGCGAGCTTTTAAAAGATTAAACCCACAAAGTATACCTATTTTTTTTATTATAAAGTCAATTATATCCGCTCTATTTTCAGGACTTCTTTAAAATGCCCTTTCAAATAAAAATATGTATCAAAATTCTTAAAGGTCTGACCACAGGGTCTGACGGAAGATAACGCGGAACAAGTTACAAAACATAAGTTGAATTGAGAATTTGTTCCATTTCTGAAGTCTTTTAGAAACAGAAATGGCAGAAATGGAAAAAGTATTTAGTGGAAAGACCAAAATCGAGTCAAGGGATCGAATTCCAAAACTAGAAAAATATAGAATGGGATGAATTTGACGGTCTTTATTTGTCATCCGAATAAAATTTTAAACGTGATTCATGACTTTTAACATATCTAGCAGGGTTTAACATATCTAGCAGCATGGTTTAGCATTTTTCTGTCGCTCAAAACCGCCATTAGCCTAGAGCAAGAAAGATAGTAGCTTATCGCCTCGACCACCTCGACGCTGTAGCAGCGTGCTATTACATGTCATATATTGTTCTAGTTTTTTCCTCTAAAAATAACTGTGATCGGCGAAGTAAATAAATGGCATCGTAGTTCGGTTTATTCCATAATGCTCAATTTAGTACCTTCATAACATATCACATATTTTATAATTGAAATCCTACATTACATTGCACATCCGCTATTTTCCTGTTCTAATAAATGGCAATTTTGAGCGAGATGAGGGATAATGGCGGCGGAAAAAGACGACACCGTGCTACCTATCGAAATCGAGCTTTTTTTAGGTTGAAACTGATCACTTTTGTTGTATATTTAACAATTTTTATTATTTAATGGTCAACAATCGTTTACAATTGTTTAAAAATTACTCAACAATTTCACATAAAATCGCAACAATTACAATATAGTAGGTAGGTAAATAGTACCTATAGGCAAAAAAAAAAACTTTTTATTAAATAGACGATAACTCATACGTTCACAAAATGAGGGAGGTTACTAAAGCATTAGAGGACAAAGAAAATAATGATAGTGAACAAAACGAAATATTGTATGTAATCGATTGATTTCAGGCGTAGACATCACGCACATCGCGTGTGTCACAAATGATAGACATTAATACTTAGGACGTCTCGTTTTCACGTTATGAATATACCATCATTTACAATATAGCGATTGTCGATGTTTTCTCATATCTTTGGGCAAAACGAAGGTGAAGAGTAATATTAGGGAACATTTGCTACCTCACTTAGGTATTGCATATGTACCTCAGATCTCAACCGCTTCAAAGTTCTACTTCTTGAAAATCCAAAGAAACCTAAATACAAATCAATCTCTTATCTAAACTAAAAAAAAAAATATTATCTTTATTTAACTTAATTATGTCGTCACATTTAATTATATAAATTTTAATATAACAAATTATATTATTGATAGTTCTATATTATGATACAGAACTATCAATTTTCACTAGGGAAAATTTCCTTTCTGTGGTTGAATAATTATAAAAAAATATAATAATCCTAACATATATTTTTTATTGTTTCAGATTGAATATAAAAAGGAGTTTTATCAACTCAAAAAATCATTTAAAAATGTGTGAGAGGGATGAGCGATCGTGCGTCTGCGTCGCGAAACTTTCATGTACACTCGGGTGTTTACTTGATAACTGTCAGTGAGAATCCAAGATGGCGGAGAAGGTCAGCTGATCGAAACACTGCGCGCGCAAGCTTCACAGCACGCGGCAGATCAAGCGCATCATGGTTAGTATTCATTAATATCAAGCAAAATTTATATACAAATGTGACTGTATTGTATCATAATGAATGGAACGTGGATAATAGAAAAGCATATAGAGCGAGTCACCACGACTCGCAATACTATGCCTCTCTAGCACAAGAGCGGGTGAGATCCTGCGTTAAATACACATTTGTCACCGAAGACTCACCGACGACCTTTTTTCTTAGTTTCGTCAAACTTGCACTCACTTTTACCTATGTAACACTTGGTTTTGATGTCATATCGACCATTGAAATTGCCTCGCTTTACAAAGCTCGTGTTAGATTAGATTTGGAATGTATTTAGATACTTATTATTAATTAAACTATAGAGTGTTTAACGGTGGTTTGATGGGTGGCTCATATCAATTACCTTGTGCTTAACCTTAAGTTCTGCTTAATCTTTATATAATCCTGTTGTGACTATGATTGTATTGCAGCAGGTGTTTGGAGAATGGGCGCAAGTGGAGGTGGTGGAGTTGGTGAACGATGGTTCGGGGCTGGCGTTCGGCATCGTCGGCGGTCGCTCCTCGGGCGTCGTCGTCAAGAGCGTGCTACCCGGAGGCGTCGCTGATAGGGTGAGTCTGGTGCCTTTATAATTAAGGTTTCAATAAATTATGAACAATAATTAATCAAGTTTTGTTTTGTGAATTTGGCTTTTTTAATACAACGTTTTCTCATACACTTTGAAAAATAATTCAGTCGCATTTATGACCTTTTCCTTTTTGTTATTAAAAATACAATTATTGTCGTCAGTTTCCATTATGTTACTACGAATAAACAGTCGTGCTGAATTTCATTCCTTTTTTCATTTTTGGCGAATTATCAGTGTCCTCGACTCAAATTCAATCGATCACAGAATGTTAACATCTGTACCAACTCGCACCCCAACTGTTGTCAGATTTTTCTGTTGTGAAGCTCCGACATGTAATATATTTTGATATTAATTTACACGCTCTGAATGATATATGTTGCTTAAGTATATGTCTATTATTAGGGAATGCAATGCTCGCGGGATCGGTCTTTTTTAGCGAGATTGATCTCAGTCGAAAAATAAGCGAGATCTCGCGAGTTTAACGAGATTACACTCCAGCATAAAAACGATTTATTCTAAGTGCGTCAGCGCGAATTTATGCGAGTCGGAGGGGTTAAAAGGCGAAGTTTTACATTTTTACAGTACTTGTATTTTGAATAGGGTCTTTTCAGTGGCTGGTTATCTGGCCAGCAAAATAATAAGACGAATAGTAAAGGTTCTTTGGACATTTTGTGCTTCTTAAGAAGTTACTTTCAAAATTATTCGTAATAATGACGTGTGAAGTGAACTAAATAAGTTTTTAAACTAATTGGTATATTTTGTTAATTTATTCTCTAATCTTTTAAATATATATAACTCAAAGGTGACTGACTGACATAGTGATCTATCAACGCACAGCCCAAACCACTGGACGGATCGGGCTGAAATATGGCATGCAGGTAGATAGTATGACATTGACATCCGCTAAGAAATGATTTTGATCAATTCTACCCTCAAGGGGATAAAAGTTTATATGAAACTTTGTCATTTTTAAACAATCAAGCTGACACTTTGCATGCACAAAACTACTATGATGTAGGCATCCCCTAAAAAAAGGATTTTGGTCAGTTCTATCCCCAAGGGGATAAAATAGGGGATGAACATTTGTATGAAACTTTGGTAAATTTAAACCGATCGGGCTGAGAATCTCGCGAGATTGCATTCCCTATCTGTTAGTGACTCATATGAGAAATTATGATTAAGTGCTAATACCGAGTAGATTATTGAAAATTCTGTATTATTGTTTTTCTTTTATCTCGTTCTATTTATCTTTAGTTTTTTAGTAGCACATTTCAGTGGATTACACGGTTACATAAATTTTACATTTAAATATTACATGTGTAACAGCATGTTTATGTATTACTCTGTGTTCCATTGGGAAATCCTGTGACCAGTCTGGTTCAATTTGTTCCGGCTCTCTATCTCTATCTATCTATAACTTTCCATTTCTTTAGTGGTTTTATTTTCTTTTTCTTCCCTGCTCTTGAATACCGTAAAGTTTAGTAACTTTCTCACCTAGTATGTTCAGTCCAACTTTTTAAGTATTCTATGGTTAATATTTCTGTTTGTGATATTAGTAAAAGTTTATTTGTGAGATTATATTATTAATATAACAGATTGTACGAGTGTTTGCTATCTCAAATAATATAAAGTTCATTTGAGTTGTTTACATGTACATTTCTCGAGGGCGTAATATAATGAAAAATGTGAAGACGAAACTTTCATTTCATACTTACTTTATTTTCTCCTCAAAATGTATCTAAACTGGCGATCTTGTCTTGTTTTTCCAAAAATTATAATATTTATTTTTGTAGAAGCGCTACTGAGTAAGCTCGGTCGGCCGACTTAATCTGTCGACATCGAATTGGCTTATCGTCACTTTTAATATTCCGAGAATTCTCGAGACCCGTAGCATCGCATAATCCAATTCAAATCAGGCATCTTATGTTTTTTGGTGAGTTCGAGATAGGACTTTCAATGAGTACTTGTTTATAAGTTGTTCACTGTGATGATATCGGTGATCATTATGAAACAGTAATGATTTAAAATTACCCTATACGAATAATTACGTTCATAATTACCCTATTTGTAATTGAATTGTATCACAGTTTCATGGAACTGCGATCCGATGAGATAAATTCGTAGAATGTTTAGATCGAGGGCGATCTTCCGACGCGCCTTACATTCATATCATGATAAAATATAGGTTGCAAGAGTACAAAGCAAACCCCCAGTTTTTTAAGAGGCATTACCGATACAAATTTTCAAATTTAGAACAGTCATTAGTTTACAGTCCTCATTAAACTTTAACAGATGTTTGTGCAACTGGGCGTTTATGTCTAGTTTTATAACAAAGTTAACAAGAAGGTTTAATACAGGTTATATCGAAGGACGGATAGACATAAAGATAATACACACATCAACATCGTCGAGGGATATTTTAATTATTCTTAATTATCTGTTTTTTTTTCTGAATAACAAACAACATGTTTATATTTTCATAAAGCCCATTTATTAGCGTGGATTATAGAATAAAATATAAATATTTTTTGTACTTAAAAATAAAATAAATTATTTTATTAAAGACGAAAAGTAGAATAATGGTAAAAATAACGATAAATGTATATTTCAAGAAAAACTGAAAAATATTGCAAAATTATTCCGTTATTTGCAATTTTGCGAAAATCAATAGTTAGTAAAACCACCCACGACGTTAACAACGATCCTGCAACGATTTTTTATGCTTCGAATCAACTTGTCAAAGTTTTGCTGCGGGATATTGTACCAGGCCCTGGAAAGATGCAAACAAAAGTTGCTCTTCAGTGACAATGTTTGTAGGTAAATTCCTCCAGGCCCTTCTTTGGAGCATATCCCACGAGTGTTCTATGGGGTTTAGGTCTGGTGATTGCGCGGGCCAGTCTAAGACCGATATATCTGTAAGCCCACTGTAATCTTCTTCCACGATTTCCTCGGCGTCGTGCAGAAGTACGAAGCAGTCTGCGAGCATGAAGATTAGCTTCATGCAGTCTTCTCCTCACAGTTTGGTCACGCACAAGCAACTGGTGCTCTGACTGGAGTCTTTGAACCAACTGAATAGCCGTAACATTTGGTTGCCTTCTCGCAGCAATTTGCAAAAATCGGTCTTGTCGTTGGGTGGTTATGTGCTTTCCGCCTAAGTGTTTTTCAGCCACTTCACCAGTAGCACGATAACGTGACCATAACCATAACCTGATATCACGTTTTGTATGTTCCGATGTCCTCAGCAATACTCCGTTGAGCAGCCCCTTATCGTAATCTACTGGGCAGATTTAAAAAAATATTTCACCTATGGGAAACCATATCATACGCGTTTGACGAAGGCTATTATTTACGTAGGCGAAGTTTCGGAAAACAGTTAGTGTGTATTGAAGAAGAACAATTCCATTAATTAATGATTTATAAATGAATCTAAATGACAAACAGGGAAAGACGTGCGCGAGTCATTGTTTACCGATCGACTTATTGTTGTGGCATTCCTGGCAGTGACGCGAGCGGAAACAATCACTCCTCTGTTTACAACGGGAACTGGGCGCGGGTGCGGGTGCGAGTGCGCGTGCGGGGCGGGCGGCGGTGTTTGTATTTCCAATGCTTCTGTTGTACGGAAAGTTTTGCCTTATTGAACAATACTCGGAGAAAAGTTTATTAAGCCTCGCAGATGTAGCACGTGTTAAGAATTTTCTGCATATCGACGAATACTGAAAGCTTTTCAAGGCTGCTCTCGATAAGCAATGGATGGGATGATCGAGTAACGTGCCTTGATATATTTTGGGATATAATACTGGTTGGTTGTCGATCGTGTATTATTTATTGATAGGTAATTATTGTGTTTATGTCTAAATCATATAGACATTTTCCAGGACAACTAACAATTTAATTGTTTAGTTTTTAACACTTTAGGTACATTTGATAGTTTGACCTTAAATATTGATCTAATTTTGCGTTGTGTAATTCAATTCATCTGGGAGAGTGTACGCAAATTCTCAGTCCAAACTTCTGTATACAGAAAATATAAAAAAATGGGTTAGACCGCTAAATTATTGCGGACTTTCGAGCGTTGTGGAGACAGGGCGTCTCCGAATAGCTTCAAAGAAATTATTAACTACGCGGTCCCGCACCACCTTGCGTATCGTCGTGCGGATTGGTTTTATATATAAAGTATGAAACTGATTACATAAGCCTCGTCCCGCATGTCGTGTAAATGTACGATACCGCGCGTGTTCCATCACGCGTTGTAGGGCGGTGCGGGTTAATATAATTGATACTTTACCCGCTGCGAACACTTTACCTACATAACTATATAAGAAAGTAAAAGAATTGTGTGATAAAATATAATCGATTCCTTGATTGTCTTAAAATACTTAGGTAAGTTTGAGAATCATCAAAAGATACCTTTTTTATTTGCAATATACAGAAAACGCGGAAATTTCGAAAATATCCTGTAAGTTGACAGTTATAGGACAATGAATTTCCCCGCTTGTTAATTTGTAAATGGATTTATATAAGGCTTGAAAAATTAGCCCATGAGCTTTAGTTTCAGCATTGTTTACTGTCCTATAAAGCGTATCGGCCGTCATAAGTGTGAGTGGCGTGGCTATTAACGCGACAAACTGTAAGTCAGTAGGTAACGGCGGATTGTGAAAGCATAATTTTGGAATTTTAATAAAAGTGAAAACCCTGCTGGACCATTATTACACCGAACCCTTTATAATTATACTTGACAATATTGACGCCGATGTCGATGAAAACATGAATGTAAATGTTTGCTGTATGAAAGAAATAAAATAAATATCGGTGTACTATTTAAAGTGACTTCACGTATTTATAATTTTGAAGATTCCTCACCTTGGAGTGCTTGAAAGCAGGTTATAGCTAACTGCTATAACCTGTTTTCAAGCATTAGTGTTGGAAGTTATCGATATAATTATGCATGTACAAAATCAATAAATAGCTATTTGTAGAAGAAAAAACGAAAGCTCTTTCGGTCAATAGCGTGTAATAAAGTGTCGGTTTAATCTCGGCTTAAATACAGACTATCGATACATCACTTAATCATCATCATCATCAGCCCTTTTACGTTTCCACTGCAGGGGCTCAGGCCTTCCTTATGGATGGTTAAGGAGGATGGGCCACGACCCTCCACGTTGACCCAATGCGGATTGGAGGGTATTAACAACTGCAAATGCAGCCAGAACCAACGGTCTTAACGTGCCTTTCGAAGCAGGAATAGTTCGAGATTATAATTTTTTGGTCACCCGTCCCGTGACCGACCCTTGCGAAAGTTGCTTAACAACAACGATCGCGGACGAACGAACGAACTTATCCTCTACGCCACCGAGCTACTTATACCTCACTTATTAGTATTAAATATATTTTAAACAGATATATGCACATTAAACTATACGTACGTTTAAATGGTTTCGTCGCGAGTCTTTTTTCAAAAATAATTACATTCTCCAAAAAAATTTAATTAAAAGTATGTCGAGTGAGTACATAAGGTATTATAACTATATATACGTACGTAAACGTTTCGGATACATAAAAATAATTTACTTCCAAACTCATTGTAACTGTAATCAATTTTACAAGAAGTTCGTAAATACGCACCTCTTCGCAATCGTTTTTCAAGTAGGTTTACATGCTACTGTTGTATCGTGCACTATGCTGTTAGTTTTTCCTATGTCCCTGTCAACATAGCACTCGAGCTCAGCACATTAATATGTCGAACTATCGCGACACATTGTTATTGTAATAGTGATGTACAGGACGCTATCAAATATCGACTATCTTTTCTGATTTAAAAAACTAAAAAATGAGTATATTCAAACAACAATGATACAATGACTAAAATACAGTAAATACTTAAGCTTTTTATTTTTATTGTTATAATAATATTAATATTAAGAATAATATTAGAAGAGTCAAACAAATGGTATTGTGTTATGTTTTTTTTTTAGTTGAATGTTTTTAAAGCATTATTATAAATATAACAAAGCACTATGAACCTTTTCTTCACACTATAAATATTAACTATACCAAATTTCATATTACTTCGTCCGCGGAAATTGCGTTAAAAGGTATTCAAAGCTTTTGCTTCATCAACAGTGATGATTTCTAATGAGTACAAATATTGCAATCGACTGAGGTCAACACTAGTTATCGATAACACGGATAAGCTATTATAAGCCATCGTTTGTAATGTAATTAGTGTCACAGTTGGCTAAACAATAACAAATATTGGTTACTATTACACGTAATAAGCACCTTATTGATCAGCTAATAGTCTAGTTAATTACCCATTTCCTTTTTAATAGATTAATATCTACTAATCATAATTCGTCACTCATTCTATAGTAGATATTGTTATTCAAATGACGTTTTCTAACTTTAATTTAAAAAACAGTTCAATTGCTTGTAGCTGAATTCTTTGCTCGAGTTTTTAATAAAAATCCTATCTTGGCAGGCTGCGTTTTAATTTATGTGACTTTTATTCTCTTTAATGATACGAGTCAGGCGCATGAAGGTTGAACCTTGGTTAGTTTTACTGGTTAGTATTTTAAGTTGCCATTACTGGGACTTCTACACAAAATATGTGTAGAAGAAGACTCAGAAAACAACCAGTGTTACTTAGAATCTACTTTGTTGCTAGATTCTAGTACGATATATCGTACATTGACACTTGTGATTTCCTTGAAAAGCTCATATAAGAAAGAATAAAGTGATATAGCACACACATGATATTGGCAAGTGGAGCCTGCCCGTATCGTGTTACCAAGAATAAACAACAAAGTCGCGGAGGCTGTAATTTAATTGCTGACAAAATGAAAGTCTAAGGGTGAAATTTTTGCGAGGAAAAGAATAATTTATTTCCTCTCGTCCTTTTAAATAACGCGACAAACCAACATCTTTCCTTAGAGCCTTAAATGGTTATTGATATTTTGATCAAAAAGTAGTTTTGACTAAAACGCTGGTTACGGTTAAGGTAAGGTAAGGTAAACAATGATAAAGAATACGATTTTTGAAAAAATTTTGTGTGCTTAGTGTCATCATAACTTTATAAAAACATAAGTTGTACAGAAATTACATATAGTAAAGCTCTATTTCAACTCCTACGAAAAATATTTTTAAAACTATAACATAAAACAATACTGAAAAATGTCGGACTTTCAATCTTTAGGAGTTGATTTAAGCGATACATGAATGATAATTATTACTATATGTATTGTGTGGTACACGAAATTTTATTCTGATAAAGCACTGTTAAAAATCTTCATAGGGTTACTAAATTTATATTTGAAAATGCTTAATTATTTTGTGCAGTGGTTAGCGCGCTGGTTATAAGATGGGTGAATAAATTTAATTGATTAACTGGAACTTTTTCGTACTTTGGAGGGTAAGTTAAGTCGACGGTGCCGGCTGCATCTGTAGTCATCGACACCCACCACTGGAAAAATGCAGGACTAGATTTCATGTACCAGGCAGTACAATATTCTTAAAGATGTAAGAAATAACATATTAATCAACAATTACATATAGGTATACCGCGTGGAGGAAAATTGTGGAATTGCATTGGAATTTTTATAATTAAGTATCAAATCGCTTCTGTACCTAGTTATCGCAAGCAGACTACTATAATGAACAGTGGGAGTGAAAACGACTATCGCTTACATGTGCGTAACTTCCACCCTATGTCGTGTCTGTCTCTTTGATTATTTACATTGGTAAAAGACAATATAAGAATGTATTGAATGGTAATAGTTGATCATGTGCTGTATGCGTGTAGGACGGGCGGCTCCGCAGCGGCGACATGCTGTTGCGCATCGGCGCGGTGTGCGTGGTGGGGATGTGCGCGCGGCAGGCGGCCGCCGTGCTGCGCCAGTGCGGCGCGTGCGTGCGCCTGCTGGTGGCGCGTCCGGCGCCACACAACGCGCCCACCGTGCAAGTGGGTAACCTCACTATACTACTATTATGTACATCACTATTATATATCACTACTATTATGTACATCACTAGACTTCCATATCATTTTCTATGGTATCATTATTAAGTGACGATTGTGCTTTTTAATTATAGCACTAATCATGTTGTAAGTAGAAAGAAAAGAAAAAAAAATTGCAATACTTTTACGAAGAAACCAAGTCTTTTTTATCTCGATTTGATGAGGATAGAAAAGCGGTTTAAAAATTAAGGGAATTCTTCTTGTGCATTGATTCTCCCTATTAACAGCCCCCTCCCTCTTAGTGGGGACATTAACAAGCTGATGATGATGATTGGGCGTGGATTATGAGATACTTAAAATATCTATATCTAGTGATAAGCGTTCCTTACTACCAAATTAGATACATATACCTCTATTGTGTTTACTTATCATATATGTACTTTACTACTTTACTCTGTATTAGGTTAGGGGGCATCCATAAATTACGTGAGGTGTTTTTTCAAATTTTCTGACCCTCCCTCCCCCCCTGGTGAGATTTTATTCAATCCCCTCCCCCATCCCCAAATCTCACGTGAGATTTTTCAAAAAGTGGGTTTCTTATTTAAACACGTTGGATTTTTTAATAAAAAGAAAAAAAAAAAAAATTCGCTTCGTACTTTTATTTACGACTAGTTAGAGACTAGTAATCCATATTGCTCTTATTCATCGAGTCACACGTTCAGCTGACAGTGGCGCGAAAACAAAGGACAGGCTACATTGTACCGTAAATTCAAATTAAATTGAGCTATTTGGTATAAAACGAGTATAGTGGTTTGACAATCAGGAGTGATGTATAATGTCAAAGTACGAATGAAATTATTTTCTTTCCAACGAATTAGTGAAAGATCTTAACCTTAGACTTGTCACTCTATGAGGGATTCCCCGCACCGAGCCTTATTTTAAAAATTGCGTGATATTTGCCGAGACCCCCCCTCTCTCCAACGTGAGATTAGATGAGATTTGACTCGACTCCCTCCCCCCCTTAAACATCTCACGTAATTTATGGACGCCCCCTTAGGTATATCAAAGCTATTTGTAATATAATTTACTGACAAATATCATGTTATAAACTATTTAAATCATATTTATTTTCACGTAAGCACCCCATACACCTGTAAAGCAAGAGACTCGCACAGGGGCGTAATCTGTGTGTTAATGAAACCGGGCCGAGTCTCACTAATTACGTGCCGTTACCGCACGACCGCCGGGAGCCGGGAGCCGGGCCCTCCAATTACTGGGCCGCGCTATAAATAGAGGGCTACATTTAGCTCGACAAAAACCTCTTAGGCATTTATGAGTGCCTCTGTTTTTACTAATTCAATGGTTTGCCAGTGAAAGAATTATTTTATTTCAAAATCTTTTCACCATAAGAATGCCAACAGTGATTAACTAATTATGATTACAAGCTACAAGCTTTTATTTAACCTGCCGTATTATTTTGTGTAAAGTATATCTCTAGTTTTAGACACAGCAGAAACTTTGCATACACATATGATTGGATGACACGGCAATGTCACCTAATAAGAATATAAAACGGAATTATACAAGACCAAATAGCGACAGCATCAGGGTCAGAATATTTTTTTTTTCTAAATATTCCGACCGAAAATAATTTATATTATTTCAAGGTTTAGAGCATTCGGCAATTTGACCATCGCTAAGTGGTTTTTAGGTATTTAATGAATTAAGATTTCCGCGATTATAAATAACCCTTTTCTGCAAGTAAAATCTTTGCTATAGCAAGCAATGAGGTCACACTGAATTCAGTATTCAATGCACAACGATTCGGAACATTGTTTGCACACCAAATTGTTTATATACGCGGTGGTACGTGCATTTTAGCAGCTGCGTCCATACTTGCGTCAGCTTCGTTAGCCTTCGTTAAAATTGCTATGCCAACAACTTCGTGTTGAAAATTTTATGGGATAAGGTCTTTTAATATCTCTCAACATTCTTGGAGCTTTTGTACGAATAGATTTTAAATACTATCTTTCCCAGGCCTATTTTCAATACTATCTTTCCTTTTGTTTCCATTTAAACGTAATATCAGTCATGTTCTCTAGCCATACGATAGCGAAGTGCTCACGTAATATTTTTGATCATTGTCAGATTTTTTTTATTGGATATTACCGTAAATATTCTGCATAGAAGAATATTAATCTACAAAAATCATACTGTACTATAGTGTTTAAGAGCAAAAGCATACACCTCTAGAAGTGATAGTATGATCCGCTGCCATATCGTACGATGACAGGCTAATCCTGTTTAAGCCGAGCTTCCTGCGAGCGCGCGCGGAAATCCGAGAGAAATTTAATTTGACTCGAATATCAACGTTTAACTTAGTCGCGAGTTTGAAGATTTGGGAAATTTTAGTAACAAGAGGTAGGTGCCTACATCGATGAAGTTATTAATGTAATGTAACTAAATATTTTTCGAGTTTTGATGCTATTTGTTATTAAAACACTCCCATTTTTAGTTACAAACAGCTTTAAGCGATAGGGTTGAATAGTAGATATAGTTATTCCTGCGACTTCGGCCGTGTGAATTACAGCTAAGTCACCCGCGTATGATATAGATCAAAGCATTTTATTGATATTTAATAAACAAATTAAGTATGTAACTTTACTTCTTTATCATATTAATATAACTATAGACTAGTACACCGATATATAAGAATATTTATTTAAACTTTCTAGAAAAAAGTTAACCAACGAATAATGAAGTGGGAAATAAAATAAGTCTTTAGTCTCAAACATTCGCTTATATTATGATAAAACAAATATAAGCGAATGTTTTATATAATTTAAAAATAATTTTATAAATATATATTTTTTTGAGTAATAATCTTGCAATATCGCCGCTTATCTTATAATATCATATTTATAATATCAAATTATTTGTTTGTCTATATTTTGATAATATATTTTATAATAACGGTTTTAGAAAAAAATATTAAACGTTTAAAAAAATATAAACGGGTAAGCTAATGTACGGGTCCGAAAATGATGTTTAAATGTAGACAATTGTTGTCTACATTTAAATGTGAAAATTATAATATAAATAAATTTTCATTACAAGATGCGTGCATAGAAAGTAACACAAGAAATAGCAAATTCACAATGTAATTCGCACGTAAACAAGAAAAAACCTTCTCAATATTTTAAGATATGTTTCGTTAGTCATATCTTAAAATATTGATGAGATTTAAAAAAATATAATTTTTCGCTTTTATCCGTCTTCAAGTCCAGAAAATTTTAGCACAGAAATTATATTGCGAGGAATATAATAAATAAAGTTTTTGAATAAATCTTTAACGTTTGTTCTTGTTCAGCATTATTTATGGAACTTACGTGAATAAAGTTTGCTATGTTATGATTTGATTGATTGATCTATATATTGTTGGTACAATACGATGGGCTGATATAAGAATATGAAATGCCAGAGGGCATCTTGCCAACCACCCGTTATATGTCTGTCTTTCACACAGCAGCGTTAAATTATGTATTGGAGAAATATAAAATTATTACCCAATTTTGTTGGTAGTCGCTTGGAGCATCTCAAGCACCCGTGGTGCCGTCCAGATTGCTGGCAGACCCTATAGAGTTGGAGAGAAGATTGGCTGAAGCAGGTCACGATGGATTCGGTGCATTGTGTGAAGATAACACGCCATCATCACCTCCACCGACTTTTATAGAGGAGAGATTACATCACAGGGTAAGAAATTTAAAAACAATTTTCCTGGTTCGTTAATATATATTGAACAAGTTATTGTTTGTCAACACATCATTCTCTGGGTTATGGGTAATTGTAAACAGACACATATACATTTGTCGGTTGAAATTTGAGGATTACTATGTAGGAAATAAATGGCAGATTTTTTTAAACAGATAAAATGTAACTTAGTTCTTTTTCTAGATTGTTTCTAATTGATAACGTTATAAAAAGTAGAAAAATCTGATCAAGTGCGTGTCGTATGCTCACGCAATTGGTTGTTTTACATTACTCGTTAAATAACGATTCAGGAAGAGTCAATGTCTAAAACTGTATAACGATAACCCAGATCCGAGATGATATAGATGTTTTTTACCTTAACACAAATACTTAAGCTGTTGAGGATCTCAGTTATATATATAATATTTGTGATGTGATATTTGTCATCAGCCGGTGGCGTCGATAGTGGCGGTTGTGCCGCGGGGGGCGCTGGCCCCCACGCCGCGACCCCCGCCCCTTATCATAACACCACAGGAAATCACCCCGCCACCTGTCAGGTTATACTCCTAATACATGTACACTTAGCTCTAGAATATTATTCAGAAATACTATAGTAAGTTAACTTGCGCTCGAATTTTATGGATTTTATTTAGAATTAAAGATCGTCGTCGTCATCCGAGTCGGTTGTGGCGTTTGGTACTCTCAGGCAAATTACACCGCAATGGTCGAGCGAGCGCGGACGTGAACATATAACTAGAAAGGATTTTCTTTCTTCATATCACATATCTATATTGCGCTTGCGAAATATATAATTGTAGTGCTATGGCATGTTTTATCCTTGTCTTATATGCCGATAGGACATTTGCCTCACGTAAAAGGTCTGTCACTTTCTGCCGCTTTTTTTATACTTTGTCATGTTGGCTTTCATGTCCAGGTTACCGCTGGATATGGCAGTGCGAGGTACAGGTGAGCCGGAGACACTCAGCTACCAGGTGGAGCTGAACAAGGACTCTGCTCTCGGACTTGGCATCACTGTAGCTGGATACGTCTGCGAACAAGGTCAGCTATCAGTCACCCATGTGTGAAATAGAAGTTTAATAAAAGAAATTATTAAGAAAAGCTGTTACACAGTACACAATGGAATTTAATGTGATTTTTACATTATATAGAATGATTCAAGAGGAAGATCTAGATGTATAATATAGTCGCACGCAGATGTCGATATATATAGTCGAAGCCGATGGGGGAAGCTAGTAAAATTTATATAATTATCATTTCATTTCAAGATACGACGCCCTATAATACTTATAAATGAATTACTCTGTTGTAGCGGGACCAGTAGCTTCATACTCATTGAGAGTTTGAACGAAGTGACAGGGACATGAATTACCCCTCCCCCTTCCATCCCCACCGCTTGCGACTTCACTTTAATGAGAATATGCGTCGACTTTTATTTTCTTCATTAGTATGCAGCAAAGTTATAATAAGAGCTTTATTGCAAACCGAGAGAGGTCTTGAAAATGTTGAATTTGTTTTTAGTTTTATTACGTTTCTGTACTGGTGTGTGGTAGACTAAATAAAGTGAAAGAGGAAATTCGTATATTTTCATTATCAATCACTTTACTTCAGTCAGGGCAATCCCATTTAATTTGATAAAGAATAACTTCCGGCAGATCCTGGTTTTCTGTCTGATTTATCCTATATTAGGAGATTTTTTCGCATCGGGGCTTTGGCGAGTATATCATGCTAAAACATATTGCAAGATTCGAGTTTGAGAAAGATATCGTAGCACAGCTCAATATGAGCTTTACGTATTCATCGGAACAAGTTAACCAAATGTATCTTACTTTTTTGTTGTCTATTGTCTTGTATAGTATTTTACTGTATTTTTTTGGAGGTGTGTTCTCCTTGCTTCATTTTTAAACTGGAGACGCCAGGGAAATAGTTTCGATCCCTCACTTTTCTTACTTCAATATTTATAAATAAATGTGGTTATAGAATTCTAATAAATAAAGCACAAATATTCTCTGCCGATAACATGACAAATAAAATTTTGATTATAATGATGTACTATTTTGGTCAGGAGTAAAAAGAAATTTACACCTATACGTTTGTTAGTAACAAGCTAGTTTCATTTCTTATTTAAGAATCTTTCTTCCGAACTAGGTTATGTAGTAGACTGGGGGTTAATTTTAGATAGGGTCGATCTGTCCCGTGTCAAATTACTACTGACCGTCGTCGTCGTCAAATAACCAAGTGGCGTGCCGGAAGCTTAGGTACTGCGGCACAAATATCAAACACGACAGTTTACGACTGGAGGGATCTCGTGTCTCGTGTAACAGGACCCTGGTGTAGTGATTGAAGGACAAGCAATTAATGAGACCTTTGCTCTTTCGTATTTAATAGAGCTCAAGTTGATTAAGACGAAGTACAAATAAGAAAAAAAACCGCTTCATTAAATAATCCTAATGTATTGATTGAGATAGACATCTGCCTTTATCCTCATTCTTGATCTCTGAGAAGTAGTCAAAGAAACTAAGCTTTATAAGTTTTAAATGAGTTTTTTGATTCCTTAAGATACACACTTGTCGGTTTTAGGGTTTTGACCATCAATCACACATATCCTTCAGCCATACAATGTTGAAATATATAATATTGGTAACATAAACATCCTGTAACAACTTGGCGAGGGCTCATTACTATGAGAAACTAACCAGCTTCGACAAGCTTTTTTTATTGTATACCATGGAAACAAGGCAAACAAGCAATTATAATATTAATGTTTTTAATTTTATATAATTTTAATTTATAAATAAACACTATAATGCTGAACTGTACACACAGGATTACTTTCAATGAAACGATGCGAAAGTTGTGTGAAATGAATATACAATAATACAAAAGTAGGTATGGTTTTACACATAAAGTATTGGCGCTAAGGCGAGACCCACTATCAAAAATTCAACTAGAGTCCACTTAAACTTTAAAATAATTATACGTATTTTTCTAGCTTCTAACCTACTCACCCTTACAAAATCCTTCTTTCTTATCTGGCACTACGTTAGAGCATCTATTATTAGATGTATGGCTTTAGGTATCTCAACAGAGTTGGTACCCACATGTGAATTCTATACAGCTTTTATGTAGTTAGATATATAGATAAACTTGTACGTCTATTAGGGTCAAATTCGAATTGATCGGAGTCGACCGAACCGGCTCGTGAGAGGGCTGTGAATTTTTAAAGCGTTAAATTTTGTAGGCGGCGGCGGGCGCTCGGACGATTTCGTTAACCTGGTTCGGCTTGGCCTCATTCCCTTTGGTTTGCATTCATTAAACGATTAATTCAGAACTACTTTACTCCCGACTCCCGCTATTTTTCATAATTTCACGCAACATCAAGATTAATAAATTTGGCTTTAGATGTACACCAGTGAATATAACAGTGCACTCAAAGGTTTTTCATGTTTTGTGACGGATTACCACCTGTCATCTAAAATATTTTTTGATGGCGGGTTCCAATCCGTCCTTTTTTTCTCCGGCAACTTTTGTTGTTTCTGATTTCAATATAAGGATCATTTAAATTTGGAAATGCATGGAGCTATTATCGGTAAAACGATATTATGTTTTAATTGTCCTTCATTAGTCTCTTAATCTTTCTAAGACTTTACTATCGCACTACTTATTAATTCACAAATGTATTAAAAAAAAATCTGGCTTTAAAACTAGCAATTGATTCTTTAGAATGAACATATATAAATTTGTGTGTACCAAATTAAAATGTGAAATCTTTCATAAAATTGTACAAAACATGTATTGTAATAAAGTACTTTTAAAAAACTTCATCTCTCCATCCAAAGGTTGTCTTGACCCGCCGATCGATCGTGACACATAGCTTTACCATATTGTATTTCTTGTCCCGTGTATGTTTTTAATAAAAAAGTGTTTTCTACCTATCTGAGAACTTCTATGATTAAGCAAAATATGAACCTTTTTTTCATTAATAGTAAACACTTTTTTTCAATAAAATGTGTTATACCTCACAATGTTTTCTTATAGTCGACATAGTTTGATATTACATAAAGTATGTGACAGTTTCGCTAAGACAAATAATACGCTTGCGGTTTTAATTAACAAGCTACAGACAGATTGAGTGGGGACGATCACCGGTAACAGACGACAATATTGATTAATGATAGACTTAGGTTGTGGCTAATTAATTAGTATTCAGTTTTAATTGGACTAATTTCAGGTCTTTGAGGACACATTATGTTTTGTTAGCATGTTTGTTATTAATGATACTTTTTATACCGCTCAAAAGTTCTTGTGGCCGATGTTTAGTAGCTGTTACATAGAATATTTTCTTCTAACAAATAATATCAATCTACGTTTGTATTTTTCGATCGACGTAAAAACGGAGGAAGGTTCTTAATCCGACACGTATATTTTTTACCCGACTGTGCAACGCAGAGGAGGGTAATGTGTTTATGAGTCTATGTATGTATGTTGTTCCTATATGGCATTGTAGAGACCAAACGGCTTGGTCAATTTTGATGATTTATACGTCAATCGATTTGTCTTAACATTGCGAGTGTCACTAAACACATAACAGTAATCAAAATTCTTTTTTTTATGGTACCTCTCCTACATGTAATATTGGGGATGACTTTTTATTTTTTTCTATTTCCCTGTAGGAATATACGTCTTTAAAAAATATTAGAAATGTACGAAGACTGTTTTTAGATATAGTGAACCGTTCGCAAATTAGTAAGCTTTAATTGTCAAGAACTACTTTGGACCAGGCTGTGGTTGACTTAAGTTCACGAATTTTTACTAAAGGTCAAGCATATGTGGCTTTTGAGCCGAGTGAGGTCTCAAGAGGGACTAATAATCACTAGTTTAGACCACCGCAAGTTGCTTAATAATCCTCACGATATACACGGTCCTGACTGTTGATCCTTCTATTCTGCTTTTGAATTTATGATATGTTTTATGTGTGTATAGATTTTAAAACTATTTCAATGGAGCAGTTATTCAGTAGTACTTAATAACATTCCAAACTACTGGGCTTGTTTTTCTTTTTAGATTTTAGTGAAGGTAATTATATATATTTTTTTATGCTAGACCACACACCACGTAACTTTTTACAAAGCAGATGTATTTTGACAATTCATTTTAATGGACAGCTTAAGAGCCTGGTGTTCTGAGGTTGGTTGATTCTTCGTTCAATGATTATTTGGGTATACGTTAGGTTAGTGTAAGTAGTTATTTATTGAAAAAAATATTTTATTTTCTTTTTCGTCGATTTCAAATGAATTTAATAAAAACATCTGCTGTAGAGGAACTAGATCTAATATTTAACAAATATCTAAAATTATAAATTGTATCGGAATTCGAGTATAAAGATTCTTTTCTTGTTTGTATTATGTTAATAGAAAGGTCAAAGTGCTAACGTATTCAGGTAACTTCTCGTTTCAATAGCATATGCAAATGTATATGACAAAGTAACAAAACATTAGCCAGTGAATATCTTACTCCAAATAGTTTGAGTATTGTAGGCGTAGTACCTATATATAAGGTACTATAAATATGAACGACCTCTTTGTGACCGGTAGGGGGTAGGTGTACACCGCGAGGTGCAGACCGATGTGATATAAGTTCTAGTACAAGCTGTAGTAGTGGGAACATAATGTTACCTATTTGTGTAATTTGGCATAGCCCCGTGATAGCTGAGGGTACAACGAAGTCGTGCCGACATTACTGTTTGTATTACGTATTTAAAAATACATCTAATGAATATCAAACGGGCATGTTCGTCTCCCCGAATCTAAGTCCCAAGATTTGAACGAAGATTTAAGCTATATTGTAAACTAAATTGTAATTTATTGTTGCAGAAGAGTTAAGCGGGATCTTCGTAAAGAGTATAAGCGAAGGCAGCTCTGCAGATCTCTGTGGCAAGATGCAGGTCAACGACAGGATAGTAGAGGTGTGTGCACATTTAATAACTATGTCCTTTTGAATAGTTAATTTGACATTTGAGTATTTTGAGGTTCATCTTTGGTCGATAATAAAGCATACGGAGTCTGCCGGTAGGCGTAACATGAGGCTCAGTCAGTTAATAGAGCAGTGGTAACGCCGCCTGCGAGCGCCCACCGCATGCAATAATCACATTTTAACACAAGTGTAGCCCCATGAATTTACCAAACAAACCAACCAAAAATAACATAAGAATATTTTTTATTTGTTCGTTTTTTGAGTCAGTTTAAACGGAGTGTACTATTTTCAACATCTACTCTTAATAATAATAAAAGTAAAATGTAGTTACTATCAAATTGTACCCTATTTAAAGGTAAATAAATATATATTTTATTCTATTCTATTCTAGTAGAGTAAACGAAGAAAAGGTTTATATTTTTGTTACATATAATGTACGATGCTATTGAAATAGTGAGTGAGGAATTATACTCGGTTTCTGAATTGAGAATTTGAAGTTAAGCACAACTCAAGCCGTGCTTTAGCCATTTTAAACGTCATTTAAACAGATTTTCATTAATGATTTATGATTTTTTTGAATGATCAGTTGATAGCATTTTGATTAAACTACGACTTTTTGCCATATGAATTGTAAAAAAACTTAAGTTATTGAGAAAAATCAGTTAAGATTCAGAAACCGGCCGTTAGTCTTGATAAGAGTTATTTTACAGGGCTGTCGATAATTATAATGCAGATTTCTGTCAATAAATATTAACTAACTAAACCAAATACAAAATTTCACATAGCGTTAATGATATGTCACCATTTCATGAATGTGTGTAATGTACGACACCAAAAGACAATAATGTAAAATAAGAATAAGTACACGCTGAAGGAGCTCGTTTATTATTTTTATTTGACGATATTTTTTATATAACCCGATTTGAATCTTCATTCAAACCTCAGTTTTCGTTTTCAACGTGCCCTTGTTATAATCTCTAACAAGTAAGTAAAGATGTAAATGGTATTAAGCTTACATAAACAATCAGCATAGTTATAATCTTTCTTTACACGAAAAACTGAATAATTTATCATAGACAGAGCTAAGCTCTTGTATTGTAAAAATAATCGAAGTGAAAATAAACAATTTTCCTCAATAAATTGCTACCAGCAGAGGCCGAGTGAGGGTCGCACGAATCACCATTAAGACGGAATATAGCTTCCCGTTGCGCTTCCAATGTTAACATTAAACATAATTTATAACTCAACTCTCCGCGAACTTCTGTACAAAAGAACGCCTTAAATTTGTAAAGTCGCATTTGCAAAGTCACAAAATGATATAATTCTAGATTCAGTATAATTACTTATAAAACCAAATATTTGCAACAAGCATGAAGTATGAAATCTTTAATATGTTAAATTACGAACTTTTCATTTTTTATCCCTTATTGAAACTACAGGTACATAAGCTATCGGAATTTTGAAAAACTATTAGTTTTACGAGCTGTTATTTAGTTTGTAAGCCACGTTATCTTTTTTGATTTCATAATTTTGATCAACTCTTCAAATTTGTTCTAATATAAATAATTCAGAAGAAATTACGCATTATTCAGGTAATATTTAATCTGAAGTGGTTTGCATGAACAGCTAATATATAGATACGTGACCACTTTTGAATACTAGTTAGTTACTTGAATAGATTTTTTTTTTATTCTCGATTTAAGCCTAACGAATTTTACATTATGTGTTGTAATAATATGACCTACTATCATACTATTACAAAGATGGAAAGTTTGTTTGTTAGGTTGTCTTGAATAGTCCATTTATTGACGAAGGATAGACAATTTAACATCACGCTTTGACTAACCATTCGACCGAAATCGCTGAAAATTAGCAACTTTATTATAATACTAAAATAAAGTGGTAGTTGTGCATTTTTTTTTAAATGCCCTCTGCTCAAATTGACTAGTCGCGCAGTTGACAGCCCTACACGGTCAGCGCTGTACACATAATTGAGCCAACTTTCACAATGCCGTCGTGACGTCAGCTAAAAGAGTTTTCAGTTTCATATTTGAAAGTTGTTGAAACTCAAAAGAAGTTTGTCATGGTGACTTACCTTTTTTTTCTATTGACTTCTTACAGTTATTAAGTAGTTACCCATGTCCAAATCCCCATGAATCAATTGAGTAGATTTTCAACTTTCACAAGTTAAGGGACTTATTAGACGATATTTTCTTATTTCACGAATGTTTTACACATATTGATAAATCACTCTCAAAGCATGTGATAACGTGTGCATGACCGAATAAATAATATAAGGTATATATAGAAAAATACTTTGAAAATTCCGAAATCTTCGCTGCTCAAGATGGAATGTCTCGACTCATAACTTTTTGTGATCGAGGCGAAGGCTGCAACCAATAAACACCAAGTTCTCGGATGGGGCTGTTCAGCACAACCGGGTCAAGGTGACGGCTGCTGTATTCAGACTTGTACCTTCGCGTGTCAAGTAAAATCATCTTCAATTGTGCAAAGGGCATTCTTAATTTCTTTGAACTGTCGAGTTATGTTTAGTTGATATGGAATCGTGGCGATGGCGGCGCCGTGCCAGTAGAGTTTTGTTTGAGATGCTACATTTGAATGGGTAATAGAGACAAAGCAATATTTTACACTAAAAATTATAGGTAGTGGTTTACTTTTGTACGCAATAGCATTATTGCTTTGTCGCTCTACATACTCCTCGCACTATCGCATTTCAAACAAAACATTGCGAAACGCAAACTGCGTCCATTGGAAGACAGTAATATAAAACAAAATTGAAATATTTATTTTATTATTTTCAGGTTGATGGAGTTTCTCTACACGGGGTGACAAATCACAGAGCTGTCGCATTACTTCGAGATGCTAAGGGTCCCGTGGTGAGGCTGAAAGCGTTGAGGTATTTATAAATATTATATTTTTATGATTATGTGTTACTTTGGTCATTTGGTCGCAAGGATTGCATCTTATGATTATGACGTATACTCGTATACGTGCAGTGCTATTCTGTGGAAAATATAGCATCGAACGCAGCGCTGTCACAGCATAGAGGTTTAATAAAATCTACTCAAGTGATAAGTTGCGTTTGATTGTATCTATATCGCTGTGACAGCGTTGTATTTTTACAAAATATATTAAAGATGTTCTTATTTAAGAACACAAAAATCATAAAAATTTGTTAACAAATTTATTTGAAGTATTATATAGCGGTGCTTTGGTGCCTAAAATTTTTTGGGTTTGAATTAAAAAAATTGGATTTGATAGTAGGCATACGGATATAAGGGATCTAAGACTTTACCAGTGACTATTGTATCTCTTTATTTCACTGTTAATTACACATTGGATTGTAATATAATAATATAAGCATGTATATTGTTTTGCAGATATCTACGAGGCGCTGGATTTGAGAAGTTGCAGAAAGCTCTAGCAGCGCAAGATGGCCGCCGGTCTCCTATAGCACCTCCTAGTCCTTCCGTTACTTCGCTCGCCAAATATAGTTTTAGTGTGGTATGCACTAGATTTTAATTAAATTATATAATTACAGATTTAAAATAATATATGGTCATTCTCTTGCTTAATGTAGACGAGTTTGTTTAGTTTTAGTACATCATCGAATCGTAGAGAATAAAGTTTACTCAAGAAATTTATTACAAAGATATTAAATATACAAAGTGTTGATAAATTGTATATAATCAAGTATAGATGTGTTTGTTTTGGCATCATTATTGATGAAACTGTCATCATCATCATCACTGCAACTGATGATAATAATATGTGATTAAGGCGCATTCTCAAGGTTATTTTTTAAATTTATTTTACAAAAGAGGAGAGAGAATAGCTCTTTTACAACTTTTTAAATTCTCCGGTCAGCGCCGTACCGTATCACTATCATCGACAATTTTATTAGTAGCTTTAGGACCCAAGAACAGATACACATGAACATAAAATCCGTTTGTTGATGTTACACTGTTACACACAGCCAGTTGCAGAAACGTCCATTAAATCTTTCATTTGTTTAAAGTGACATTACCCAGACAAATTTGACATTCAATAGAGCTTAAAGGCGTCATTAAACCTTAATGGACGTTTGTGCAACTGACCGATAGTATAACGAAGAGTAATGAACTTATGTCCATTTGATCGCCTTGTGTCCATTTAATGGCAGCGAAACGGCCGAGCTACATGTTTTGAATGAGACATAATGTTTGTGAAGTAAGGGTGTAGAGTTAAATCCTTGGTTCTACACGAGACACGATATCTTTTTAAACAGTGTGACTCATTTGACTCATGCATGCAAATGTTTTTGGTGGGATTAGTTTGATTTCATACAATCCACTTCGATATAATCTATAATTCGCTCATGGACGTGCAGTACGATGAATCGACGGTGATAGAAGCGGAGCCGGAGAGTGAGGCGCAGCCCCACCTGCCGTCGCCCCCCTCCCCCTCGGACGAGGCGGAGATCGTGATAGGCAGAGACGACGCCGACCGCGACACCAGGCGCATACAGGACAAGTGGCGGGAGATACTCGCCAACGAACCGGACTGGCCCGGACACCAGGACCACTATGAAATCATCGTGAGTATCGAGCTTCGAATACAAAAATCGTTCCACGCTTCGGTCAGGGGGATTACAGAGACAATTTTGTCGCGAATGGCGCATACCTGCTTTACGGTGCGGTGTTTCGGATATTTGCGAGCATGTAAATGTATATAAATTAAAAACTACACGATCATTTCATAATTTATGAAATTACATATTTAACCTCGTAGACATCCGCCGATTTGATGACTTTAAAACGAAATTTCGTGAATTCTGTCTGTTAAAAGACATAACATTGTTTTTCTCCATTTAGCGATGTAAATTGGCTTCTTAAGTTTTCGATATATCGAATCGAAATGTTGCCTCCAGGCGGGCACAATAATCAAGGGCAAGGAGTGCGGCCTCGGCATCTCGCTGGAGGGCACGGTGCGCGTGGTGGCGGGGCGCGAGGTGCAGGCGCGCCACTACATCCGCGCCGTGGCGCCGCACGGGCCCGTCGCCGCGCTGGGCCTGCACCGCGCGGGGGACGAGCTGCTGGAGGTGACACTCTGACACTCTTAACAAAACAAACAACGGCTCCGCCGACCTAAACACTAGTCGATCGTCGAACGACCGGGAAGGAGCGAGCCGACGCGTATCCTTTGTCTCGGGGCGGGTTATTTCGCCCCTCCCGTCCTAAAAATAATAATCGATACCGATTTTGCGATTGGTGCGCAGGTGAACGGGTGGCGCGTGCTGGGCGCGCACCACGTGGAGGTGGTGTCGCGCCTGCGCGCGCTGGCGGCCCCCGCGCTGCTCGTGTGCGCGCGCCGCGCCGCGCCCCGCCCCCGCCCCGCGCCCGCCGCGCCGCCGCCGCCCGGCCTCGCCAGGGTCAGTACTAGCGTTGTGTTACTCACTCTTTTTTAATGAGGACGAGTGAGGACCTCATTTTCCTCGTGAGGGGCTCGTGAGTTCCCACTCATTCGAGGTGAGGATAGGTAATGTTATAGTAGCAGTGAATGAGTACGTAGCGAGGCGCGTGCAACATTGACGTTTGGTACAAAACGAGGGAGGGAGTCGGTAATGATGCTAAACGAAACATATTTTGTCTTTAGATTCTAAGAAATAAACTTTTTTAGATTATTATTTAACAGAATGACCACAACACGCAACTTATTTGCAATAGTGCCTGTACGGTTTATACCGCACATTAAGCATATTACCGCGTCAGCATTTACTTACATATTCATTCACATTTTCTATACATTAACAGTGCAATCAAGGCATTGTCGCGCGCAGCAAGTATCAAGTGTATATATACATAATTCGCAAATAAATCAATATTAAAATCGACAAGGATTCTTATTTATCAATTTAATCAGTTAGTTCGTGGATCAAGCAAAGTACGCGAACAGTGCCTAATGTTCCATTTTCAAAATCAATCATTTATATTTCGAATCATATAAATATATTTCTAAATAAAACCGATACATTTTTATTTACTTTGGTTTTTACTTAGACTAATTAATATCATTTATCTATAAAATATTAAATACGTATTTGCGAAGAAACACATAAACAAACCTGAATCGTTCCAAAAAACTCATAAAACTTAACCCATTCCCTCAATCTTGAATATATTGAGTATGTATCGAGTCGCCTTTTCATTCGAAACGACTCGCTATTAAGCTAAAAGAGGTGGTTCAAAATTGAAAAACGAGTACTCCCTCATTTTGTCGAAATGAGGAACTCAAACGAGGCACCTCACGAGTGAGGGGCTCATCACTAGTCAGTACTCATATCATATCGTTATCGAAGAAGAAAAAACGAACGAACCGATTCGCGTACAGATCCGGCGGTTTGTTTGTGACGATTCGAGGATCACTCGAAGAATGGAAAAATCGGAAAGCGGGCATATCCCGTTCGTCAATCGACAATAGTCTGTTGCCCTTCGTCGTATCGGCTGACGCTCGATCGTTTCGGTTGTCGGTGTCCAGAACCAGATCCTGGGCGGCAGCCTGCAGGAGCTGCTGGCGCCTCCGCAGCGCCTGATCAAGGCCAAGTCCGAGAGCTCCGTGGCGTCCCTCTGCAGCGCCACCACGTTCATGTCCACGGGCCACGATCATGACGGTGAGCGATGAAAATTCATTGATAGGTATTTATTCATTCGTGGTGTCAATCGACAGTCGAACGGACAACCGTTCGATCGTCCATTCCACGAAAACTCCCACAAATAACGCTAGCAACTTATTTCATGCTCGAATACAAAGTTTCATTTTAGTAAAAATGTGGAGTACGGTACTTTATAATAAAAACTCTTCGCGTTTTATGTCCCCATATTTCCTCAATCTCACGTGCACATCACGCATCGCTTCCAGAGTTCTGCTCGGACGACCTGGAGAGGAACCGATCCCGTTCGTTGGAACCGCTGAGCGGTCTGGCGATGTGGAGCGACAACGTCGAATACATCCAGCTGCTCAAGGAGGACAGGGGGCTCGGCTTCTCGATACTGGACTACTTGGTGAGTTAGAAATTCGGCGATCCTCGTCTCGTCGGAGAGTGTGATCACCGGCAATACACCGTGCAGGACCCGGTGGAGGCGGGCGGGTCGGTGATCGTGGTGCGCGCGGTGGTGGCGGGCGGCGCGGCGGCGGCGGACGGGCGCCTGCAGCCCGGCGACCGCCTGCTGAGCGTCAACGGCGCCGACGTGGCGCGCGCGCCGCTGCACCGCGCCGTGCAGGAGATCAAGGCCGCGCCCAGAGGTACGCTGCACACTATTTATTATTGATACAATTACTAAAAATAAAGGAAATCAATTAATGAAAATATCTTACAACGAAAGCGACTGCAAATAGAACTATCACGCGTCTCTTTTTGATTATATCACCTGTTTGCGCATAGATAAGTACACGATCTGCGCACTCTTTGCAGTCGTAATGCTATTATCGTTATCTCAGTATCGCCTTTTATTTCACAGCATTTCTCCAGTAGCGTTCGACTCTGATCAAAGATTGTTGTGTTTTCTTTCTTTAGAATTTATTTGTTTAAATAACAAAGAGGAAGTTTTAAATATTAGGTAAAATTTTTTACTTTGTTTATATCGTATGTTTTAGTAAAAATTGACAATATATTGCATTGTTATTACTATTATATATATTATTGTACAAAGCTTGGTAATAGAGTATTATGCTGTTCCAGTACTTTCTTGTTATATTTTCTTCTGTGTGGCATTAGTATGCATTTTACACGATCGAACTGACAAAATATATTTTAAGACGCTGAATAGTGCCAAATCGATAAAATGGATCTTGGATTGTACTAATTCACGGGAAACCTATGGCAATCCAAAAATTTGTGTTTATACTTGATCGTATTTCTGATCTTGTGGTTGAAACCGAAACATGATTGTATTAACTTCACTCGATAGAAAATAATTCCAAAGTAGCATCTAAAAATATTGCGAAAGGCACATTTCTCAATTATGTGATACATTAGAGTAATGATATTGAGTACAAATATGTATAAAAGATTGATATGAAAGTTGGTTAATCCCAATTTTTGATAATGTTATTATAATAATAAATATAATTTATTTTGTAATATGGCACATATGGTCATTTTTTTCAAGCAACTTCAAAGTATTGACATTTCTCTCACTCCTACTGCAATTGACAGGGAAGGCTATAGAGTAACGCACACTAACTTAGTTCACGCTGAGGCGTGTTGCTAGATGGACCTATGTTGCTTTGTGCAGCGTTTTGACGTACCGAGATCGCTAAAATTGTAAAAAAAAAACACTTTTAAATATGTATTTTAATTTCGCTCTTATTGTAACGATATATTTGGTGTAATATACTGGGGAAGGGACCCGAGTGTCTCGAAGTTATAAGTTCTAATCCCACTAGAGCTCGTATTTTTTTAAGTTGGTTTTTTTATTATTTTATTCTATTTTTTTTTCTGCCATAATTTTAAAAAGCAACATTTATTTATTTTATTTAATTATTAAACAGTATAAAATGTGAAAATAAATATTTCTTTAGTATGACGTAGGCGAAAGTCAGACTGACATTTTCATACAAAAGCCCCGATACTGATGAAATAGTTCAGGATGGCAATAAAAAAACATATTCGTGTTCGAATCCAATCAAGGAAGTTTTTTTTACTATTTTTTTTATACTATTTTTTTCTATTATTTTTTTATATCATCTGCAATTTCAATTTTGCTTCCCATTATTCTTATAGATATATTATGTTATTTATTAAAATAAATTGATGAATAAATGAATTATTTTCTGATATTATTTTATTCTATCTTATTTCTGTAATTATATTTTATTTAATATTTTTAAAAGTCTAGTATTATAAAATTTATAAACATAAAAATGTGACAAAAGATAAATATTTCCTACTACTAATGTTGTGGAATATGAAACTCATGTGAATGTTTGATATTTTCACACAAAACTGACAGATTTCCCTTGTGATTCCCCGAGAGATTTTGTACTACATTGTCAATACGTTAAAATTTAAAATCAAATGGAGAAATTTCACATTTCTGTATGGCCTGAATGCTGTTGACTGTACTGTTAATTATATTTTCTAGTAAAAATACGATTTCAATCTTGTAGTATAAAATATTAACCAATATCAATTTTTTTTTTTTTAAATAAAGTGACTATTTTACTATATAATAACGTTGATTTAGTAATTTATATTGTTTGAAAGTTAATGTTTCGATGTATTAACTTGTACTTACGTATATTATAGTGTTTTCAATGAATTTATGAGCGATAGGAGTGGTCTAATGTCGAGACATCTAACAATCGTATATAGAATCCAAGATCGAATCAAAATCTCGTGTTTTTTTTGTATTACCTAATTTTTATGTTTTCATTTTTTTTTTTATATAATGCGTTATATAATTTCCCATACCTATAAATTGACCAGGGTTGGACGTTCTTGTGTTACATTTTTACGCAAAACCTACTGAATGAAGTTCGAAGAAATCTAACACACAAATTGTGTTCCTTATATTTTATATCCGGCATTTTTTTTCTTTTGAAGGCCTTATTCAACAAAAATTATTACATATATTCAATTACATTGGAAATTATTTTCGCGATGTGTTGTGCAAAAAGCGTAGCGGAACATAATTAACATTTATAGTGAGCCTTGTTTGAATTAGTGTAAGGTGTAAAATACATGTAAAATACTTAGTAAAATAATTCCATTTTATTCAATGACTTATCAATTGACTTTTCTGTCAATCCCACTAGAACTGGGTATATATACTTTACTCTTTGCAGGGATTGTTGAAGCGCGGTATTAGTTAGCGACAATTTTCTCGTGAATTTAAAGTATACTTATTTGATTTAAATTCGTGAATAAAATAAAAATTCATATTAAATCAAAAATTCATAAATAAAAATTCTTAGAAAATCGTATATTTAACTATATTTACTGTTTATAATGGCTCCAAACAAAAGTTCTAAGAAGCGATATTACAAAAATAAACATAAACACATGATGGAAGTTATAAAGTAAGTACCTACCCATGTACCTTTTTTGATATAATATTATGTACACACTGCAGCATAACAGGTTACTAATTTTTTTCAAAGTTCCTTCAAAATCGTATACAGGGTACATATGCCTGTCTTCGACCAATTAATGAAGTTACCGACTTTTATAATAAAATTAGAATAAACGTAATTTATCCCCATAAAATAGTGTTAATTCATCATATTAGCTATTTAATACAATTATGTAGTTTTTAATGGTTTTTTTATTTATATCATTAATTGGTCCAAAACAGGCCGTGATGTAATTAATGGCTATAATTTAGAAATTTTGCTAGAACTTGGATTTATACTAAATTTATATGACCAATTTACTATTCAGTTTGCAACAACCGATATTTTTAATATAAGGTTATTTTTATTTCTAGTAAGAGAAAATGTTTGGAAACTGATTATGAAAAATCTTCAACGGAAGATCTTATACAGAAGTGAGTATTAAATTGTAAAAATATCTTTCCTTTTCTTTTGCTGCTATATTATTTATTAGTGACAAGGTGAACACACATTTTTTTTTAAATATTATTTCCGTTTATAATATGTATATTCACTTTATCTTTTAAAAATAAAATGCTTGTCTATTTTGGTTTTATTTACAGAAAAAGGAGTCGATTAGAAAATGTCCCCAAAGCAAGTGACAGTATTATTTTACATGAGTAAGTATTACCAATGAGATTATAAAACAAAGTTTATCATTATAATAAAACGTTAATACAGCAGCACGTCAGGTTACTAAAAAATATTAAATTTACGCAGTATGCTGACGAAGTTAACACAGAGCAGATAATTAGGTTACCAATAAGTGTCATGTGAATGAAGGATTTTGACGGTTTTGTTTAACTTAATATGCACGAATAACTTAAGAAATAGAAAAAAAAACTATTTATGTAATGTTTTACTGATAAATACCTTTAATTAAAAATGCTTTTAAGTATTTTTCAAAAAGGGTATATGGAACATACTTATGATTTAGTTTTATTTAAAATTTATTTCATACTTATAAATTAATTTCTAATCCAATATTTAATCAAATCTACTGTCCGTCTGTCTAATTTCCGTTAAAACTAAATTGCAAAACATTAGTCAAAGTGAGTTTATCTTTTCATGCAACCCACTTCCGAGTTTTTATTAAAACTTTATTGATTTAATAAAAGGACATTTATTACATTTCAGATTGCAAAATGTAACATTTACCAAAATAGGAAAGGATCCAATTCCTTTCCTCGGAATCGATTCCAAGCATTGTGAAAACCCTGAGTAAGTCATAAATATGTATAGTGCAATAAAAAGCAAAATAATATTCATTAGTTTTATTATGCGTTAACTTACATTAATGATTATAGGTATGATATGGAAGTAGAAGAGGAACATAACATAATAAAAACTAGGAACACAAACAAAGCAAACAACATCGGACGGCGAATTGTGAGCGTCTCGCATTTTTTTAAGGAACTTCAGAAAATTTCTGACCATGGACCTCTTGGCTGTAATATAAGTACAATGGATTTGATAAGCGAAAAACAAAATGGGTTGCTTTCAAAATTTACTTTTTTATGTAAAATGTGCAATTTGAAATTTTATATAGAAAATGATTGTACTGAAGATAATTACGTAGATGTCAATAGTTGTGCTGTGGCAGGGATAATTTCTATAGGTGGCGGCTATTCACATTTAGAAGAATTTTTTATGGCTTTAAACTTGCCAATGATATCAAATAAGATATACCAAAGTCAACATAATATTCTTTCCAGAAATTGGGAAAAAGTTGCTCAAGACTCTATGAATGAAGCTGCTGAAAAGGAAAGGAATTTTGCTATAGCTAACGGAAGGATTTCTAAAACTGGTGTGCCCATAATAGATGTTGTTGCGGATGGGTGTTATTCCAAGAGATCATATAAAAAAAACTATTCTGCTTTATCAGGAGCAGCAGCTATCATTGGAAAAAGAACAGGTGAAATCTTGTTTTTAGGAGTTAAGAATAAGTATTGTTACGCTTGTGACCGTGCCAATAAGAAAAAAATCATAGCCAAAGAGCATACCTGCTACAAAAATTATTCAGGCCCATCAACGGGTATGGAAGCAGACATAATTTTAGAGGGATTCAAACAATCTATTGCAACCCATAAATTAATTTATGGCTGTTTAATATCAGATGGTGACTCATGTACTTATAATAAAATTCTGCAAGCGCAACCTTATCGAGAGGATGGCGTAACTGTTGAAAAAATAGAGTGTCGTAACCATCTTATGCGAAATTACTGCAATAAAATTAACAGTTTAACGACCGACACGAAATATCCGTTAAGCCATAGAAAAATAATAACAAATAGTAAAGTAATTAATCTAAGAACTGCTATTATACAGTCAATAAAAAAAAATAAAAATGATGAATTTCCTGAAATTTCCTATTTATTTGAAGATATTTTACTAACTCATCATCACGCTTTTGGTAATCACACTGGATGCAAAAAACATTTCTGTCAAAAAGTGGGCACTAACGACGATCTAGTAAAAACAAAAGATTTTTTTACAAGTTCTTTATGGCAAAGAATCTGCCTTCTAACACAAAACCTTGCTAGCCATGCCAGAAGTTTGATTCACGATGTGGACAGCAATATAGTTGAACGCTATCACAGTATAGTTGCAAAATTCGTTGGAGGTAAACGCATAAATTATTCTTTGAGCCACTCATATGCAACAAGATGTAGTGCTGCTGCTGTATCATTTAATACGAAGAAATGTTTGTCCCTTGTGTATAGAAAAATAAGTAACTTAAGCCCAAAAGGAAAATTAAAAATAGTTGAAGAAAGACGAGCAAGAAAAAATTGTCTCAACAGAAACTATACAAAAAAGAAGAGACGATTGATTTTTAAGAAATCAGATGAAAACTATGGGGAAGAATGTACGAAACCGGATATGCCAGCAGATTTGTTTCTAAAAGTAAAGACAAATTTTGTACATTCTTTAAAAAAAACTGACGATGAACGTCGAAGAATTGAAAGATCGACGATTCTGCAACGTGACAGCAGTGAGTGGATGGAGCTTCGACGCTCGTTATTGACCGCATCAAATTTTGGCCGAGTTATTAAAAAAAGACCCAATACTCCGTCTGCTAACATTGTAAAAGACATTTTGTATAAAAGTAACATCAACTACGTCTCTTCTATTCATCATGGTCAAGTAAATGAACAAAAAGCTATTGCTCAGTTATGTTCTCAAGAAAAAATCTCAATTACCCCCTGTGGCTTGTTCATCGATGAGGAATTGCCGTTTCTTGGAGCGTCGCCGGACGGTCTCTGTGGAGATGATACGATAGTTGAAATTAAATGTCCTATCACTGCTTACAAATTAGGAATCACAGAGGCCATAAACCAGAAAAAAGTAAATTTTTGGGTAAAAAATAAAAAAGATGAATTATATATTAACCAAAATCACAATTGGTACTATCAAGTACAAGGTCAGTTACATATAGCTAAAAAATCAAAGTGTATTTTTGCAGTGTGGTTTAGCGAAAGCGAAAATTTAAAAATAGAAATTATTAAAAAAGATGATATATTTTGGGAAAAGAAGATGAAAATAAAACTCGATTCTTTTTATATGAATTGTTTGTTACCAGAAATTGTAGATCCAAGATTTACTAGAAACCTTCCATTAAGGCTACAGGAAGATGCAAACAACGTTGACTCACCAAGAAATAATGAAGACATACAACAGGACCACTTCAACCTGCCCACATCTTCAGAAACTTTGGATTTTGTTCAATATTGACAACGTTGAATACTCTAGATACGTAGAAATACTCATTAATTTTACTGCGTTAATTTTACTTATAATCTGTGTGCGGGATGACCTTTTACGGCGATGGCTCAAGAAGACATCAAAATGAACGGTGACCTATCAGCATATTTGGATAAGATTAGGCGAGTACAAGTGCACAAAATTCTCTATGAACATTACGCGGTTGGTCTTTACACCTGGTGGGTACAAAAACCTGTTTTAATTTTTGATCAATTTTGTATTCATAATGAAATACGGATAAATATTATTATATTTATATTGTATTAGTTTTTCATGTTTTTATTATATAATATGAGTTTGTAAAAATGTAGGCAGGTTGAAGTGGTCCTGTTGTAAGTTTTCATTTGGTGTTGATGTCCTGTTGCCTTAATGGAAGGTTTCTAGCAAATCTTCGATCCACAATATCAATAATTAATATAAAAAGATACAAGTTTTCTTTTCATCTTGTTTTCCCAAAACATATCATCATTTTTATAATTTCTATTTTTAAATTTCCCTTTCGATAAACCACACTGCAGATACATTTCATTTTTTGGCTATGTGTAACTGACCTTGTACTTGGTGTACCAGTTGTAATTTTTGTTAATATATACATAATTCATATTTTTTTATTTACAACCCAAAAATTTACTTTTTTGGTTAATGGCCTCTGTGATTCCATTCGATTTCATTTCAATTTGTAAGCAGTAATGGGAGATTTCATTTCAACTATCATATTATCTCCAGAGATACCGTCCGGCGACGCTCTAAGAAACAGTAAATCCTCATCGATGAACAAGCCACAGCGGGTAATCGAGATCTTTTCTTCAGAACGTAACTGAGCAATTACTTTTTGTTCATTTACTTGTCCATGACGAATGGAAGAGACGTAGTCGATATTTTTTTTTATACATAATGTCTTTAACAATGTTGGCGGATGTAGTATTGGGTCTTTTTTAAAAATCTCGGTTTAATTTGATGTGGTCAATAATCACTATTGAAGCTCCACCCCTTCACTACAATCGTCGATCTTTCAATTCTTCGTCAATCATCATCATTTTTTTTTAAAGAAATGTACAAAATTCGTCTTAAGTTTTTGAAACAACAGCAGATACTTTGCATATTCAGTTTCGTATATTATTCCCCATAGTTTTTACTCGGCTTTTTAAAACCAAACGTTTCTTCTTTTTTCATACTTTCTGTTGAGAAATTTTTTTGCTCGTCTTTCTTCAACTATTTTTAAGTTTCTTTTTGGGCTTATGTTACTTATTTTCTATATACAAGGGACACACATTTCTTCGAATTAAGTTATACAGCAGAAACACTACTCCTTGTCACGTATGAGTCGTTTAGAGAATAAGTGATGCGTTTCACTCCAATGAATTTTGCTACCATAGCATATATGGTAGCGTTCAACTATATTGCTGTCTACATCGTGGATCAGACTTCTGGCATAGCTAGCAAGATTTTGTCTGAGAAGGTAGATTCTTTGCAATAACGAACTTGAAAAAAAGCCTTTGTTTTTGCAAGATCGTCTTTAATACCCACTTTATGACAGAAATGTTGTTTGGGTCCAGTGTGATTACCAAAAGCATGATGATGTGTTACTAATGTAATGAATTAAAATAAACAGGAAATTCATTCATTCGTTTACTATTTGTAATTATTTTTCTATAGCTAAACGGATATTTTATGTCGGTTGTTAAACGATTAGTTTTATTGCAGAAGTTTTGCATTAGATGGTTACGGTAATCTATTTTTCAACATTTACGTCATCCTCTCTAGAAAGTTTCTTTGGTTATGATTTTTTACTTATCAACATGGTCAGAAACGTAACAATTCTTATTATTCATCCCGAAAACCAAGATTTCACTTTTGATTGTTGTTTGTTTTGTTTTCCTAGTTTTTATGATTCCGTGGAAAGGAATTTTATCATTTCGTTTTTTGGTTCATGTAATATTTTGCAATCTGTAATATAATAAATGGTCCTTGTATTATATCAATTTAAACATAAACTCAGAACTGGGTTTTCTTAAAAGGTAAATTTACTCTGACTAATATTCTGCAATTTCGTTTTAACGGAGATATAATAGAAATGATAAGATATTTGGTTAGAAAAGATTATTATGAATTTGTATGTAATAATTTTTAATGAAACTAAATTATAAGTATTTTCCATATTTTCTTGATGAAAAATTCTTAAAAATCATTTTTCATTAAAGGTTATATCAGTATAAACATTATATATGTAAAAGCTTTGTTTCCAAATTAGCGTTAACAGTCAGTCAATGTCTGTATTGTTGATCACTCTAATTAATTTTGCGAAAGAAATGAAAATAAATGAGTTATACAAAATGAACTCGTCCAAATGGTTTTATTTTAACTTTTAATACACTAGGCTTGTACTCAGATAATGTGTTAGTACTATTGTCTTCTCCATAAAGCAATCAAGGCTCAAAGCATAAAAACTCTTCTTTAAGTGACAAAATTGGGACAATTTTAAACCAGAAATACCTTCTCAATTTCTGTACAATGATCAAGGAGAATCCAACACTCAAAGCATTTGTTATTTAGAAATAAAACGTGGCATGTTGGACAACAGGAATAGTGAGAGAAATTAATATTTCACATGGTGAATATTCGCTTGCATAAAATCGACCTATCTCTATGGAAGATAACCAAAAGTAGGAACCATTAAAATTTATATTGAGTTTTGTTATGATGTCATAATTGAATAATAATGATTGTCCAACGTTATCAGGTACATACGGCAACAAGTCAGGTTACCACATTTTATCAAATTACCGCAATTTATTATCAATTCCACCGTCGGTCAATTAAGGTTTAAAAGATGTGTGGTATAGTGAGTATTTAATATTTCTTTTAATTTTAAATCTGTTCATTGTTCAATGCACATTTCAATTGTGATACACCTATAAATCATATTTTTGGAGCAAGTAATATATTTTTTTATAAATTTGAAGACAACTTTCTTTTATAAAAAAAAAAACATTTTTCATGACAAAAACTATCTAAGCCAATGATAATTTCTGTAAAAACTTTAGTGAATTTTTATTTAATAATTGTAATATTATAATTGTATTGGAGTTCATAAAAAGAGTGTTTTTGGATGAATTTGCCTGCCCTACAAACTCTATATCCTTAATGTACTATTTAAAATATGCATAGACTTTTAAGATATTATTTTTTAATCAGTTCCCTTTCCAGTATCAAATAAAAAATGCCTAATGGTAACTTTGAAATCATCTAGATGAATGGGATTAATAAAATAAATGTTTTAATGGTTTTATCCCAACCGGTCCACCAGTCCTGTACTCTGATGATGCGTGAGTATTACAAAATATCTCTCCACCTCCATAAAACGATCATGGCTAGAGGAAAAAATAACGAAAGTTATGAAAACAGGATATGTTTTATTAACCCCAGTCCAAATATCAGTCTAATTCTTAACACATTAATTATTTTTAAATGGCCATGAAATGTTCGACAGCAAGACAATGTTATAAATAGGCGCATCTACCCTATGTTCTCATAAAAACGATTCTAAAATTGCATTCTTTCGACTGCTCCGGCAAGTTCGATATGGATATGTGTACTAACTACAATAACTCTCGACTTTCACAAGTGCTTGTAACAGCCTAGACTGAATAAATAATTTAGATTTAGATTTTTTCAATTAATATTGCATGTGGTGAATATTCGTTTACGTAAAGCCTACCAAAAATACGTACAAAATGTATAATAATGACTCTTCTTGCAATAAGAATAAGGTATGAAAGTTCGCAATTATTTTTAACTCTACCTTCAATAAATTAAAGTTTAAAATCGGGTGAAAAAATGAAAAAATATAGTTATTTCATATTTCTTTTAATTTTAAATCTTTTCATCGTTATTGTTATACCTGTCTTTTCTAAGCCCCATAAAAATCTGGAGTAAAAAGAAATTATTCCTTTCTTTTAAAAAAATTCAGCGCCACCTATTGTGTAAGCACTTTAGATAGCTAACTCAAAGCACTTGATGGTTATAAAACGTCATTGTTATTAGTACAAAGTTTATCTGCTGGCGCTGAACCGATAGGCATTTGTTATTCTTCTGAGGAACGTGCAATGAGCTAACCCACACTAGCGTAGACACCTGTAATTATGTAAGGGGGCGTGTCGATTTCTAAAAATCATTCAGTGTCCTCAGCCCCTTAAGTACCTTTACTATAACCTAGTGAAAAAACGTTACTGGGACGTATGCATTTAACAGTTAACTCGTCTTGGCGGTTACCTACCGTGACCATTACATAGATATAGTATGTCTCTTTTTAATAATTGCATATCCGATATGACATATAGGTAATTTTTATATTTTCCTTTCAGGAATAGTAACGATAGGCGTAGCAAAACCACTCCCTTGTAGTACAGTGGTCGGAGGGGAAAAAGCGAACGGACACAGCGTCCAGAATAGCCAGGTGAGTCCTCTTGTATCACAGTATTCATATATAATATATTTATTACAAAAATATGCTTTTTACTTAAAATAACGGAATTTTATTCGACTATTAAATATTCTATTAATATTTTTTTGTTAATTTTACGTGTTTGCCAAATAATATATTAAATCCATCGGTGAAACGAAATAGTCCCTATCAAAATATATGTTTTCTCTCTTTGGAGGAAATATGACATTGGTGCATCGAATACTTTTGCGTATTCGAAATATTTATATAAATACATTTAAGAAAAAGGCGAATTCGTGTTTAAGTGTTGTGTTTATTGTACACTGAGGGGAAAATATCAAAGTAAGTTAGAATATATACCTTATAAGCTTTACGCTTAGAGCAGTATTTTAAATGCAGCATGCTAATGATTTCTTCAAATACTATTTTAATAAAAATCTTTGTACAATAAAGGGAAAATTTACCGCTCTAAGGAATATAGTATTATTATATTTGTAGTTTATTGTCATATTCAAGAAATTATTTTATTATGTAGTGATCTCCCTTTAGTGTACAATATGCATGCTGTTTGGAATAACAAACTAGTGTGATACCGTGCAATTAGTTATAAGATAGCTTTATAATAGTATTATTTATTTATGTATTTTCTAATTATTTTTGCACACTTACCTTTTTTACAGCATCAAAGCTATTATATTTGATCAATTTTGCATTCCCAACGCTATACTAGAAAATATTCTTAATGAAGAATGCTTACTTATTCCACTTTGCCCCTGGCACCCTGAAATGGGACATTTTTGATTATATAAAATATCTTTCTTGTTCTATTATGATATCGCACTGATTGCATAACTTTTAAATTGGCTCTTTCTGTAATAGAAATATATTCATCTACAACCATTAATATAATATCTTTTGATTTTTAGAAATTGGAGTACTTCACGAAGATCCTTCGCTTGATAATGTCTCTACATAGAGACATATTAGAGTTGCAGCTGCAACGCGCTCAGGACGTAGAGCCCGCGCCTGCAGACGCCGCCGCCGTTCCGGGTGCCGCCGAAGATAAAGGCGGAGATCACTATGAAATGACACAGCGACCGACTCAACTACGCGGTCACCGTCGAGATACCGGACACTGCCAACTGCACCGACCGAGGTTCCATCACATGTAACGAGTTGAAGATTTAACGCCATTTGTTGGAATCTCGTATTTCTCATTTTAAATGCCTATTTCACATATCGGGTTGGCACAAAAGTAATGAGACACTTGGTTTAAGTTTTACTTTTTGATTATTATTACAATAAAAAAAGTTTTGTCAATGATGTAATTACCATTAGTATCTAAGACTTCTTGCCAACGATCCGGCAAAGTTTGGATGCCTTTTGCCCAGAACTCTGATGGCTGTGCCTCGAAAAAGTTGTTCAACTCCGCCTCTACGTCAGAGAAATCATTAAATCGTTTACCCCGCAAATGCTGTTTCAGGGCTCTAAACAAATGATAGTCTGATGGGGCGAGGTCTGGGGTGGGGCGAGGTCTGGGGAATAAGGTGGGTGGGGTATCGTCTCCCAGCCCAAGTTCTCCAACTGCCGGCGAACCACAGATGCGACGTGAGGTCGAGCGTTATTGTGCAGTAAAACTACATTGACTCGTCTTCGTCGTTTTTTCTTGATAGCGGCAGATAATTGGTAAGCTGGGTTGAATATTTGTCAGCGTTTATAGTTTCATTGTGTAATAGCTCATAAAACAGTATGCCTTGCGCATCCCAGAAACAGCAAAGCAGAATTTTTCGGCGGTTCTTTTGACTCGGCTTCGGTTGAGTTGGTGGCGTTTTCTTCTCGAGGCAGCCAAAAAAGCACGACGTGTATCGTTCTCGTAATAAATCCATGATTCATCTCCAGTAACCAGATCTGACAAAAACTCTTTACGTCGGGGTCACAGCAAAAGTGACTGACAGATAGCGACACGGACTGCACGACTGGCGTCTGTAAGGATGTGCGGTACCCACCGAGCCAAAACTTTTCGATAACCAAGCTCATGCAGATGGTGTTCCACGGCGTGGTGACTGCATTTAAGTGCTTCCGCTAATTCACGAGTGGTAGCATCCGGATTCAACTGCAGTTCGCGGCGCAAATCATCATCATTCACTGCGGGTGGTCGCCCTGAGCGTGGCTGACTTTCAAGGCTCCTGTCTCCTGATTTAAACCGGGTCAAACCATCGGGACACCGTCGCATGGCTTGTACTTCCAGCGCCTAATGCATTGTTGATATTGTCAGCCGCAGCCCACGCACTGTGGCCTAACAAGTACTCGTATAAGTATAGTGTTCGAACTTGTCGCTCGTCCATTTTTCTTCAAACTGACTAAACTAATCGCGAGCGCGGCTTTATATACCCTACACCAGAAGTACCTAGAATGTTCTACAACATTCTAGAATATTATCGAAAAAATTGATTTTAAAAAGGAAATGTTATAGATTTTTCTAGTGTGTCTCATTACTTTTGTGCCAACCCAATATTTACAAAAAAAATCACCGCATTCGTTAATGTAGAGTTTACCAACGTGAGTGTCTGGCACAGCTTTTGATGTATATACCTATAGTACGATTATATACAGCTACACAAATAGTTAGCACCGAATGGTAGTTCGCGATAATAATTGCGAACCCATCAAAGTTGAAAACAAAGTTGATAGAAGAAGATTTTTTTAAAGAAATGCATAATCTGACGTGCTGTTATATGATCTGCTCGCGTAGCATGACCAACTCGAGAAACGCTTCGTCTACACTCAAATGTCACTTTTCTCGGGTGCGCCCATACTACAGCTTGGTAATAAATCTCACTCTCGACCCGAGAAACTGACAAATGAGTGTAGACAAAGCGTTTCTCGAGTTTGTCTGCTACGCGGGCAGCTGTTTACCCGTAAAGACGTGGATATATTTAATTTTATATCATAGAGAGTAATAATAACTGATTCACATGACATAAAAATAGAGACTTATTTAAAAAAAGTCAGCGGCAAGAGTTATTTTATTACTGTTAACAAATTATTATTGTTAATTCATTAAATATTATTGTCTGTCCGGCATATTACCTAACTACAAAATAAACGTACCTAATTAAAATAATATAATTATTAGATAAGTGGGAATAACTATACTTGATATAAACTAAATGATATGTCTACACTGTAAAATCAAGTCTATTAATTAAGGTTGTGGTTTAACAGTGAAATTACTGTCAATTTCATTGATAATGGAATTAAATATAAAACTTTTGTGTCAATTTAATATAGAATTCTATATATGTATTTTACATAACAATGTTATTCAATCATTTTATATCGAAAAAACTTAATTATTTTGGTGAAAAATTAAATAATAATATATATATATATATATATTGACAGAAATAACAATTAATAAAAGAGATGAAAAATAATTTATTATTTTAATTATATTAAACGCTCAATATTAACTGAAATATAAATATAAGCTGAAAAAGTGGTTTGAAAAAATAATGTTGTATGTTCGCTTACAGGAATTTTGTAACATATCATAGATAGTAAGTTAAACTATCATAAAGTATTTATTATTATTTTTAATATAACAGAGAGAGAGGTATAAGGCAATCACCTAGATTGCTTTATATCTTTATATATAATGATGATATGAACATAGTCTGTGTTCTAACGAACTTAACCATAATAGAAAAACAAATGTTATAATAATTCCTATTTATTACTATTTACGAAAAAGCATACGATTAAGTCAACAAAAAAATTACTTACACAAAGCTTTAACTCCAATAGAAGATTCTCAAATTATTTTATACTTTTTAAAAAAAATTGAAGTCGCTTTATTTATTTAAAACATTTTATATTTGTTCCTTTTTCAAATCAATTTCATAATACATATTTATGTGTATCTGTGATAGAGATTAATTTGATAATTTCCTTTTTTGAAGTCTATTAAAAATTCTCCGTTATGGGTTATTTATACATATAGACATTATGGGGTATATGAGTAAATATAATTAAGGGTATTATTAATACAATTGCTGATATTTTCAACCATTGTAATAATGAAGGTATTCTCTCTGATCTCAGCGAAATTAAGTAAAGTCATTCCTTTTTTTAAAGCTGGCAATAAACAGAATCCTAGCAATTATTGACCCATTTCATTCTGCCACACTAAGCAAGATTTTTCAAAATATATACTGGAACAACTAATATACTACTTTAATTCCACTTAAACAAACTGTTTAGTTCCAGAACACAATGAGTAAATATAAATGGTGCAAAGTCGTCGGGCTCTCATGTAAAAATAGACATTCCATAAGGTTCTATTTTAGGCCCATTTTTATGTTTATGTAACATTATGCTGTTTGCAGAAGACACTTCATTGATATTTTAAATTGACAGAAATAAGTATAATTTTGACGATGTAAACAATGCTCTCTCAGAAATGATGTTTTGATTCACAATTAACCCCCAATTGAATGCAATAAAAACCAAATGTATAAAATTTACTTTACCTAATGTAAAAGTAGAACCAACTGAAACTTAAATCAATAACGTATATTCAAAAGTTAGCGAGTTCCTCTATCGGTCTTATGGTATTATATTGTGGAGAACGGCAGCCGATATTCAGTTTATATTTGAATACAAAAAAAAGCAATAAGAGCTATCTATCAATTAGGCTCACGAACAGAGAAAAATTAAAGTAAATTGGAATATTGACGGTTGCATCTCATTTTATATACAATTCTATACTTTTTGTCCGGAACAATATTAATTTAGAAATAAAAACAAACTAGTCATACCTTCTTACAGGGTACAGGTTCATTCATGGGTCAAGGTATACAGTACTTTAACAAGATGCCCAGCGATTTTTACATTTGCCAATAAATCATTTTGAAAGTCATATTAAAAATTGTCTACAAAGATATTATGCCGTTAAAGAATATCTAAATGGCAAAAAGGCAGGTATTTGTGATTAACATTGTACCTATGTATTACATGCCGTGTCCTGCAGCCATTGATAGATGTATTAGAACTAGCTTCCTTACTTCACTGCACAAGTTAAGTACCTAGAGTAGTCACACTCTCTTAAAAACCTGTGTCGTTTCCTAAAAATAAATAAGTATGTATGAGTCGGCAACCAGTATATTAATGAGTAGGTAATCGTAAAATATCTGTCTTTTTATTTCTGATATTGTAATGGAAAGTGAATTCATATATAATGAAGTTAATTTCCAATAAGACTTTTCTGAGTGAAATAAAACAGGGAGAAAAGGTTAAGTAATTAATTAATTCTCTAGGGCATAATTTATATACTTACTTCATTGGTTTATCTACTTATATCCCATTTATATGAATGCCGATACATGAAGAGAAACAAAACCTCCAAGCCCAAACGCAGAGTATTATATATTATTACCTTTATTATATATTGGGTAGATCTTTATTTTTATGGATTGTTTGTTTGCGTGAAAAGGCTCCGAAACTATGAGACATACGACGTAAATTTCTACACCTACGATAAGCTACATCATACGTGGGTGATGTAGGCTTATAATATACGCGGGCGAATACGCAACGGCAAACCTAAAAAGAGAGAGTTTATAAGAGCTCAGTAGTTATGGAAACATCATTTACTACGATTGAATTTACTACTAACGACTCCACCGAGTCCAATTCAGTAACAACTGACCCCATGCAATAATTTTAAAAAATTGAATACACATTTATGTATCATGACATAGTTTATATGTATCATACTATCCCTGTCCGCCTGCCGTAAGGTAGGATATTAAAAGTAAGCTTCAAACAGTCACACTCTTTATAAGCCACTAATGGTTATTATATTAGGACAGCAAATTAATAAATCATTTGTATCAATTAATTTCATATGAAAATGGATGAATGTTGGTATGAACTGAAATTGTATATCTACCTAAGAAAAAATATATGTAGTAATCAAATAATGATAAATTAATATACATTATGAGGTAGTATTAAGGTAGTAATATTATTGACATAATGATATTCATTGATGTTTTGTAACTATGAGACTTTAAATAGAGCTTTAAGTTTTATTTTGCAATAAAAATTGTGAAGTTTTGACAATCCGTCAAAAGTGATTAATAAAACCAAAAATATTTTCTAACATACTTGTATTTATTTAATTAAATTTATGTCCTGCAATAAGCCCTCAGTTAGTTCTATATAATGTTGTGATTCGTTGTTAGTTAGTTAATAATATGATTAAATGGCAATGACGAAACATGTTACAAAAAAGTCAACATCGTGTTATACCATAAATGTTTCGATAGTGTGAACCTAGCGTTATGTAGGCTATAACGAGATAGA